GTCTGAGTAATTCGTGGTTCAAAATTTTGAGCTGCTCCTTCTCTTTGTCACGCCAGAGTTTTTTGGCGACGCGAAAAGAACATTTCTGGTCCTCGGTGGACAACTTTAGACAAAAAGCATAATCACCAATCAAGGCCAGAAACCGTACGAAAAACTAGGGCTTCACGTACCTTTCTTATTCCTTATACTACTTCAGACCCCCTCATAATCCCCCCTACTCCCATCCTTTCAACCCAGACTATCCATCCACAAACAATCTCAATCCTCGTGGAATACTTACATGCCCAAGATTCTTTAATTTTGGTAGGGCGGTCAAAAACCGTGGTACTGGTACACGCCAACACCAGTTCTTCAATCAGCGCACGAATAGTTTCATCTCTTGATCGACAAAATCTGGGTAGTATGAAGGGGGTCAGAAAAAGATCCACCCTTGAAATAGCAACACCGGGTTCGTACCTGATTCCTTCGTGTTGAATCCGTTATTTGCTGAAAGGCATGAGTCTCGTGGCTGATGTTTAGAGCTAAGAAAGATGGAGTTAGGCCGTATCTATGGTTTGCAGATGGATGACAACAGTTGCAAGGGGAGATAGCCGGTATTCTGATAGAGCTGTCGACGGACGAGCGTCGAGTCGAAGCGAGTCGGCCGAACCCGGAGTTGGGTTAGGTTTGACAGATAGGTCCGAATATCCGATAACCCCGACACTTCAAGACTTCACCGGTACCGTTGGCATAAATTTCGCTTTGATCTAGCCAAGGTCCTTTGTTTCTGACGTCCATCTTCGCTAGCCTTCACCGGTACCTTCCCTCATCTCACGGAACAGCGTCCATAACTATCTATGCCGATTTAAAACCCTCGTTCCGAAGATTGAACAGTTAATTTGACTTTAACTCGCCTTTAACATTATGCGGGATCCCAGTCTACAGTTGATCCACAGATGCATGTCAGATCTGAAATTCAGGTCGACTTGGGGTCGTAATAAATTGAATAAACAATTACGAAGCGTTCACATTGAAGTGGTCCCTCCGAGTCCAGACGTCAAAAACCCCTTGTATCCAATCACCGCTATATCAAACTAGGGCCGAAGTCACTGAATAGATACTTGCCAAAGCCAATTCCAAATTCCCTCCCTCCCGAGAATATCAGAGCTCTGACTGGACGGCACGAAGTTGGCTGCACCGTGCTAATCAATACTTACCATTCAGAAAACCTTCGTTTCCGATTGGTGGACTCTCTCCTAGGCCGACGTAAGATTAGGAATCTGAATATGATATTCAACAAGTGACCGAGAAAGATACGAAGTTGAGTGAAATCGATAGGTTCCCGAAGGATCTGAGTCACTCAGGCTATCCACGGATAGTACGACCGGATCATGGATTTCTAAAGGTTTTTGAAAAGACATACTGGCGAGCCAGTGGGCCACAAAGCATTACCTCAAGCTGACAGTGATATCCCAATAGTTCTGGTCGTATCCTGGACATTGGGGAATCTTGTAGTATCTATTCTGAATCTGGTTTGTCAACTGCAAGAACCATACGAAGGAAAGGAGCGAACAGACTTTAGAAGCCTGCCAGGGGGTACGTGAGTCGTACAAGAGGTGCAGCTAAATTGAGCCGAATACGGGATGACATGGACCAGGCACAGACATGACTTTTGAGACATAACAGCAAATTTGCCCATAGTGCAACTGAAACTGATGTGGGGAGAGGGGGTCAAACTTTCAAGTTTCAAATCTCAGCGGAGCACATTGATCAGTAATGAGAGCAAAAGACCATCGACATACATTAGAGCATATTTGCAACCGTCAGATGGATTTTCGGACTTGCAGTGTGCACCACCACACAGGGAAGAAAACGGCAGGGAAGGCCAAAAGTTGACTGAGGATGGAAAAAGAAGCAGAGAAAAAGACATTAGTAATAGCCCACCGCGAGGGTCGAACTCGCAGCCTTCAGATAGTTAAAGTGCCTTATTTTGCCTTAAAAGTCTGACGCTCTATCCGATTGAGCTAGGCGGGCACGTTACTCAAGATGTTGCACATCTATTTGTTCAGGTCATGATGATGACGAAAGCTCCGTATTCCGTGGACTACCCGGACTGCCTCACCACCACCTCATTGCTTTTAACCACCACCACCACCACCACTCAACGCAAACGACTCACGACCAGCAATGATGGAAGACGGTGATGAAGGAATTGTTCTCTCAGATCTACTACGAACAGGAGAAGCTTCGAGGTTGCGAAGAAGAGGAGCTATACGGGATCACATCCATCGACATCCACATCATTCACCTCCACCCCCATCACCAGAGCAGACTCAAACAGCGTACAGATTATTTTGTCGAGGAGGAGAGACGACGAATAGTAGTAGGAGAAACGAAATTGCCAGGTGGTCGAATGAGGCCTTTACCCCAGCGCTGTTTTGGTCTCCAACGAGCGGGGAAAGGATGCCGAGTCAAAACGAGGTGCTATCCCCGACAACGATGACGGGAACTCCGTGTGGAACGCTGCTTCATTCATCTGCCACCTCACCAGCATCAGCGTCGTCTTCATACACAGCCCACACCGAGCCTTCCATGATGGTCGTTCCCCTCGACGCCGTCTATTTCGACGGAGAAGAACATACCAATCTCAACCTCGGCGTTGAACTGTGTGGATGTGTAAGGGAAGGCCTTGGTTGCTCGAATTGTGGTACTCCAGTTGGAATAAGATGGAAACCTTGCAAACCTTCTTCCACGGCTATATATTCTTTCTTTTCCGATGCTGTGTATGCATGTCCTCAACCCCCAAAGTCAACACCTCCACAACCGGAACCACAGGCACAGGCGCAAACGCGATCCAGTCGGCCACCTCCCAGAAGAAGGCGGACGAGGATTGGGGAAGATGAGGTCAACACTGCTCTTGCCTTGCTCGAAAATGCAAATTCTAGCGGTTTTCCTTCATCCACATCGCCCACATCCTCCTCCCCGTCAGCAGAAGAAGAATTGGAAGAACCCATCATCGATCCTTCAGATCCAGAACTCGTCTGGGCTCTTGCTATGCCTTGGTTCGGGTTTAGTGCCAGCTTACCCGAAGATTTGGATGCCTGTGACACTCAATCCGCCACCCGCGATTTCGGAGTCGATGCCCTTGACGGACTGGACAGCGAGATTGACTCCATAGATGACGTTCAGGGATATTTAGAAAGGAGGATCAGCGGTTCGCTGCTCGAGTGTCGTGGAGATGAAGAAGATGCTTATGATGGATATCGATACCGCGAGGAGTTCGATGATTATGATTACGATGCATGGGATTCGAATCGCTCAGAAGAACGACGAGAAGGTCGTCTTTTGGTGACGGTATCGGATTCTCTCTTGCAGCGCACGAGGAACCGTAGTCTGTCTTCTCCGGCTTCTCCCTTGTCTCCCTCTTCGCCATCCGCGATTCCGATGACGAGGTCCTATGCGTATAGTCGGTTTCGCTGAGCGTTTCTGACTTCAAGTCCCTCTCCCCCAGCGCAAAACCCTTATTTCACTTTCGGCTTTCGGTTTCGTTTTTTCCTTCCGGTTTGTGTGGAATTTGGGATTCCTTAGATGCGCACTTTTTTTCTTGTCACTTATCATCGCTTGCTTGTCTGTATAAAATATGCTATTGCGACTCACTGTTATCTACTTACATTTCGTACATATGCATCAGTCTTGGACTTTAGGTTCAGTCTACCAATTCCAGTTACTGTCTGTATCTATATAATTTCTACATACTGCGTAGTACTATAAAATATTATATCGTCGCTATACTACCCTGGCGAGACTTCACAATCCCAATGTGTGTCCTTGAAGCGAAGGGTGATTCTTAACCCCAGGTTCTCGTCAACTTGCGTACATATACTAATGAATGAATTAAATTAATTCTTTCTGTCATGAATGTTGATAAACTACTGACATCTGTCATGGAGGGCTTGTTGACGAGATTTTTATGATATGGGTGCTCATGGGTACTTGCTTCGCAGGAGTACGAGGAAGTCAGAAAGACGGTACCACATATTATCAGAAGGAATATACAATATTGCCTGCCTAGCTCAATCGGATAGAGCGTCAGACTCTTATCTTCTGTTCTCCAGTTGCATATAATCTGAAGGCTGCGAGTTCGACCCTCGCGGTGGGCTATATCGCAGGAAACTTTGTTTTTGGCCTCTGGCCACTTGGAAGTAAAGTAAATTTTCTTTTACCTAAATTACTTAGTCCCGACAACTCAATATCTCAGGCCTTTCTTCCGCCAAGCGCAAAAAAAAATTCTTTTTGAGAAATTCAACTTAATTTGAATAGTTCACTGGTGGATCCGAGTCCCCCCGAAGTTGGCGTCAAATTTCAACAGATATTGGCGCAATCTTTGGCGTCCCGCTTACTTAAACAAACGTTTTTTTGAGTCTCCTGAGATACATACTGAACTCCTCGAACCTGTGCCTAAAGTACACATAAAAAAAAACAGGAACCCTCACCGGGAGAAGAGCACTTGACTGATCAATGATGTCGTTAAACTAGGTGTTGATGGACGTCCCGGGGCTCGACTCCGGCTGCGGTTGTTGATTATGACTAGGATATAGACTCCCAACTTCCCGCTCTGCTGAGGTAAGGCTTCATTCGGCAACGTCCGACGAGTAACGAGGCTTAGGGGGTTAGTTATACAAATTGAACACGACAACGAATAGCGTAGCTATTGAAGTCAACGCTGTACAACGTCTCAAGCTCAAGTATCGATGTTCGTCGGTCCGAATTATCAATTTGTAGCCACAGTTGCAGTCATCGTATACGTAGGACTCGCGGGTAGAACCCTCTGCGCATATGCAAGTGCTCGAGCCACTTCGAGAGTCACTTTTCAAGTTGACTCGCAGCTAATCCTGCGAGCATGCGCAGAACTTGACGCCCAGCACATGTTGCATTGCGAATTACTTCGGTGACCGACCAAATTTTTTAGTTTCTCCGAACAAAAAAACCCAAAGCATAATCAGTAGGATTTTTTTCGATGAGCCATGAACCACAAACTGCCGAAAAGTCACCCGTGAATACGTTAAGAAACGCCGTATGACAGCGTATCCACCGTCTCAATATCTGGAACTTTTGAGAACTTGCAGCGCTTTTTTGAGTCATAGATGGTGTTAGCTCCATTGCCAACGAGAATAGTGGAATGTCCGACGGTTCTACATGAATTGGGCCCTAGCCCACGGTTTCGTAACTTACCTGAGTAAGGATAATGTGGATGGGGAAGTCATAGCTAAGGATCTAATGTAGTATCATATGTGGTAAGTAGCTGTTACATAAAAATCGTTTACTCTGGAAGAAACAAGAATTGACACGTAAGTACCAGATGGGTAAGTCAAGTTGACAACAAAGACTTAGCTCGCTCGACTTTCCGGAGCGGAATCGTGAGACGCTCTGAGAGATCAACAGAGTCAGACTGCAAGCAGCAGGATGCTCGATATCTCACGCCACCGCATTCAAACTCCGCGCCGACTCCGCGTCATTCCAGGTCATTGCTCTCTAACCTCCGTTTTCTCCCCTTTCGAACCTGCTTTGACCTCACGCTCTTTGCAGCCGCTTAGGCTGCGAGCGCCATCGAGATACTCATGATATCCGACCCTCCGCCTTAGGGTCCTCAGAAAGCCTTCTGTGAACTTCTATCAATTTGTTCGAAGCGTACAGCGCACTGACCCCATTTACCATGAGAAGAAGAAAAAATTTTCTCACTATCACAGCACCTTCTTTCGACCAAATTCTCAAGCCAAAAAAAAACATTTATGATTTCAGGAACGAGCGACCCGCGCCTGTAACTGAAAGAGACAAGCTGTTTAACCTGGGTGGTTGCTGGAGGTCCAAAAGAACCTAACTCCACTCCGCCTGCGGGTCGTTATGACTAGAAATACATTCTCAGTCGCCTTCCCGCTCTCTTTAAAGACTCTCTTCGATGGTAGATTCCCAGTGAAAGTTCCTGAACGAGTGCTTCTATTAGCTCTATTTTCGACGAGTTCGGAGGGGTTTCATAAGCTTCCTCAGTCAGGGAATCTTGCTGTGAAAATAGTCGAGCTGTATGCGTCCTGGACTTCGGAATCGTGGTTCCCTCGACCTCACAATCTCCACCTTCTTTATTGACTTTTTTCTTTCCCGCCATCACAAAGTCGTCGAGCACAGCAAATATCAATACAACAAAGGTAGTACAGCACAAGAGTCCAAAAAAAAACAGAAGAGTCTCCCGAAAAGCGAAGATCCCGTTAATTGAAGGTTTTCCAGAACAGCCACTGGGAAAAAAACAAACACAAGTTACATGAAAAAAGATTAGGCCGCTCAGTACCCGATTTTGGGTTCGGAGATGACGGACCGAAACGAGGGCTACAGCCCTGAATTCTTTTTGATGGGGACCGGGCCGTACTTGCGTCGTTGCTCAGCTGGCTCAAAGAGTTTTTTTTTCCTGTCTTTTGCTGTTTGACGGGTCTCCCCTTCCCCGTTTGGTTTTCAAGCTCAAGGGAGGAGCTCATCTAGAGCTTCAAATAGTTTCTATTGTCCCCCAAAGGCTCGCAAACATTCGTTTAAGTAATACTTCCTTGCATATGTCTATGGCCACCTTGTTGCCACGGGCGTCGGGCGACATATTGACTCTTTGAGTGCTCAAAGAAGGGGGGTGTTTAGGTTTCAAGATAATCCGCTTATGACAGACTGAGAGGCATCATTATTGATGTCAGTGACGAACAACATTTTTCCGATAATAGGCATGGAAACCGTCTTTAATGAAGGAAGCCAGTGAGCTTGAGAAACATTTGAAAGACCTGAAAAAAAGGCCAAGTTTTGTGTTGTTCTAGCTGTTAAGAACGACCATTGACGATCTTGAATCTCGAGCGATTGGAGGGTCACCGACCTGGAAGGAGTGTATGGTGATTTCAATTGTCAAGGGTCACCTTAGCACTGGTGATCAGCGCAAGTCCAAAGGGTCGTATGGTTTTTTTTCACTCTTGACATGGAACAGGCTGTCGATCTGTCATCCTCAACGTACCGTCTGTACAGTTCGTTGTCCTTTCTTCCCTTTCTCTCTTCCACTGCATCCAATCCGGGACCGAAATTCGTGTTCGTTTTCTTTTTTTTGACTGTACTACCCCCCTTTTTCCCCCGGGTCGTTGATGACATATGTCAGAAAATATAAGCTCACCACTCCAGACGGGGTCTAGGGAGAATCGAGCCTAGCGTTTTTTATTACTCGTACGTATACTACTACGTCGACCGGAAGCTCCGTTTTTTCTGACACACTAAAAACCACTTACGACCCTGACAGTAATCTTTGTGATTTCCACTAGCTCGTTTCCTCTTCGAAACGCCACCTTGTTACCACCAAAGGACGGATTTTGAAAAGCGTCGGGCGTTACTCGACGTATGTAGTGTAGTCAAGTACATGGGAAATTTTTCAAAAAAGTGGAGATTATTGATTCCGCTCGGACCGAGTAAAAAGACTCTAACCCTGGCCAGCCAACTAGTATCAAGTCAGTGGCAGTTTCTGGCAACCGCCTTCATAGCCTTTTTTTGAAATTGACCTGAGGGGGGGGGGGAGATTACAGGGAGTAGAACCCGTTAATTTTCGCGACTTGTTCCGTGCCCTGGAAAGATAAAAACAGGTCTGGAGAAGGATCATCGAGGAAGGTTTTTTACCCACGTTTTTTTTTTAAACCCCAAAAGAACAGGGAGCCTCGTGTTGAACTTTCTTTTCTAAACCTCTCTCGAGGTGACTTCTCAGCAAATGAATTTTCCTGACAGGCCGAGGTTGCCTACCATCACATTTCATTATACCAGAAAAAAAAGCCCGTGTTTTTCTTCCCCCCCCC